CTTGTTGCCAATCCCCCTGCCCCATTGTCTCATTAACTCCGACCTTAGAAATACCCCATCCCCCACAAGTCACTTCCTTAACTCCTGGTTCCTCCATCATCCCGGGTGCTCTACCACCAGTAGCCATGGCCACTTCTGCAGCACTGCCAAGTTCAAGAGTTCCCAACCAAGAATTGGCGGACAGATTTTCCCAGGCAGGGCACCTCTTCCTCAGCATTTAATTCCAAGCAAAGAGCCAGTGGTGTCCTCTCCAGTGCCTGATTATGTTTGGCAGGCCTTCTCTAGTAGAGGCAGCATGGGTATCTTGCTGGTTGTCCAGCTGAGTGCCAGAAACTCGCCACCTCAAAAGATTTACGTCCATAGACACTTGTCCACTCAGGTACCAGATTCCCTTTAGAGGACACAGCAACATTTCCATCAATTCCAGCAAACTGTAGGGTGAAATATTATAGAGATTAAACTTCCTTCGAATATCTAACATCGGCACAATATGGCTACAGTATGTACCATCTGCAAGATGCACTATAATGAATAACCAATACATCTTTGACTGTCCAAACCCACAACTTTCACTATGTAGAACGGAGAAAGCAGCTGGTGATGAGAACCAGCATCTCTCAGTTCCCTTCCATCTCACATACCAGCCTGATGGAGAAATGTTCCATCACCAATGCTCCCTCTAAACTATGCAGCAAGGCAGCCTCTTGGAGAGACCACACTTGATGAATGGTGCGGAGATGCATTGACTTGTGTTTCCAGAAGTTACCTTGATGCATGAACCTCAGAGATCTGCACAGCAGCAGGGAAAACTAGAGGGAACGTAGGATATAAGCCTCGTTCAGATTTACAGCATTCATTGTTTTTTTTTATTTTTTTGTCTAAGATATCAATCTTCCTGGGTCAAAATCCTGCAACTTGCATTTCTAATAGCACTGTGGAGCACCTTCAATGCATGGAACGCAAGCTTCAAAAATGTCATTCACCACCATGTTCTCAAGACCAATAAGGGATTAACTATAATGGCTGATGCCATCAGCAATGAAGGCAGGATGTTGGCTCAGTGTTTAGCATCACTGCCTCACAGCACCAAGGACCTGGGTTTAATTCCACTCTCGGGTGATTCTGTATTGAGTTTGTACATTTTCCCTGTGTCTGCATGGATTTCCTCTGAGTGCTCCAGTTCCCTCCTACAGACCAAAGATGTACAGGTTGGGTGGATTGGTCATGCTAAATTGCCCATAGTGTCCATAGATGTGCTGGATAGGTGAATTAGCCAAGGTAAATGCAGGAAGGGGCCAATGGCCTGCTTCTACACTGTCGGGATTCGATACTCACATTCTATGAATGAAGGAAAAAGGAAGAACTAACAGTAGGCATGGAATCTTTTGTCCATTGCGAAGAAAATAACTGAAACAGACTGATGATTTTGTTGTCTGACCTGGAAAAGATTTACATTGTCAATGTATGTTGTTTTGAAAAATGCATTTGATAACCTTTCCTGTCATCCCAAATGGGCAATTAATATGGCAACATTTGAATGCACTGCTGAATAAGATTCCATTGGACATGAGATGGAAATTATTGCTCAGTGCAAATTACAGACTTTTTCAACAAAGTTGAGAAACAGGTGGTAAATTTGGATTCCTTGGCTATCCCACCTACTTTCCTGAACTGGAACCCTCGGGCTATGCATTATTGTTGGTGTTCAGAAAGCCCAGCAATATCATTGAATCCCTACAGTGTGGAAATAGGCCCTTTGGCCTAACAAACCCACACTGACCCTCAGAGAATCCCATCCAGGCCTGTCCCACTATAATCCACCTAATCTACACATCCCTGAACACTCTGGGCAATTTAGCATGGCCAATCCACCTAACCTGCACATCTTTGGACTATGGGAGGAAACTGGAGCACCTGGAGGAAACCCACTCAGACACAGGGAGAATGTGCAAACTCCACACAGACAGTCACCCAAAGGTGGAATCGAACCTGGGTCCTTGGTGCTGTGAGATAGCAGTGCTAACCACTGAGCCACCGTGCTGCCCCTTCACTATGTCATGCTCTAGATCTGGAAGCCTGCAACCAACTCCGATGGTGATAGTCACCACAACTGCACCCAAGTTGCCCTCCATGTCCACAGGAATGAAACACACAATGATATATGGCATTATTGCAATATAATATTTATACTTAATGAACTATTTCTATAAGGTTTTGGAGTACATCTGTAGCTCGGGTTGTGGATGTTGAGGTTGGTTGGCTCGCCAAGCTGGTTTGTTGTTCCGCAGACGTTTCGTTACCGTGCTTGGTAACATCCTCAGTGCAGCCTCTGATGAAGCGTCGGTGTGTTTTCCCACCTGGTTTTTAAACTCTGGGGTCCGTTGCGATGGATTGCCTCACTTCCGGGTTTCCTCCGTAGTGGAATGTATATGGGGTTGAGTTCAATGTGTTTATTAATAGCCTGCTTCGTGGAGTGCCATGCTTCCAGGAATTCTCGTGCTTGTCTCTGCCCAGCCTGTCCCAGGATCTTGGTGTTGTCCCAGTCGAAGTCGTGGTTCTCCTTGTCCATGTGGATTGAGATGAGTGAGTATTGGTCATGTCTTTTTGTAGCCAGTTGGTGTTCATGTACTCTTGTTGTTAGTTTCCTTCCTGTTTGTCCGATGTAGTGTTTCTCGCAGTCTCTGCAGGGGATCTTGTAGATGACATTGGTCCTGTCCATGGCGGGGAGTGGGTCTTTAGTTCGAGTGAGCACTTGTCGTAGGGTTGATGTGGGTTTGTGTGCCACTCTGATGCCCAGCGGTCATAGAAGTCTTGTGGTGAGTTCCGACGTGTTCTTGATGTAGGGTAGTGTGATGAGTGTGTCGGGGCATGTAGAATCTTTCTGACGCTGTGCCTATAGGCATCTCCTGACCCAGTTCTTTGGATATCCATTATCCTTGAACACTTGGAAGAGATATTCCTCCTCCTCTTGGCGTACTACGTCAGGAGATGCCTACAGGCACAGCATCAGAAAGATTCTACACGCCCCAACACACTCATCACACTACCCTACATCAGGAACACGTCAGAACTCACCACAAGACTTCTAATACCGCTGGGCATCAGAGTGGCACACAAACCCACATCAACCCTACGACAAGTGCTCACCCGAACTAAAGACCCACTCCCCGCCATGGACAGGACCAATGTCATCTACAAGATCCCCTGCAGAGACTGCGAGAAACACTACATCGGACAAACAGGAAGGAAACTAACAACAAGAGTACATGAACACCAACTGGCTACAAAAAGACATGACCAATACTCACTCATCTCAATCCACGTGGACAAGGAGAACCACGACTTCGACTGGGACAACACCAAGATCCTGGGACAGGCTAGGCAGAGACAAGCACGAGAATTCCTGGAAGCATGGCACTCCATTAAGCAGGCTATTAATAAACACATTGAACTCAACCCCATATACATTCCACTGCGGAGGAAACCCGGAAGTGAGGCAATCCATCGCAACGGACTCCAGAGTTTAAAAACCAGGTGGGAAAACACACTGACGCTTCATCAGAGGCTGCACTGAGGATGTTACCAAGCACGGTAACGAAACATCTGCGGAACAACAAACCAACTCGGCGAGCCAACCAACCTCAAGAACTATTTCTATTTTAATCAACTCATGCAGAGATCAAAGCCTCAAAGAGAAGCATGATTGTCCCTGAGATTGACTTATCCAAACGTCCTAAACTGCTGTGTCAACGTTCACTCCAACTTCTACCAGAGCACAGTGACAGTCATGTCGACCATCTGCAGAATGCACTGCAGCAACTTGCCAAGGCTCCTTCACCAACACATCCCAAACCCTGACTCCTACAAAGGCAATAGACGCAAGCACAGAACATCTAAATGATTGTGGCGAAAGCTAATAATTCATCTTTGTGGATCCTGCCTCCAGGGACCTGCTGAGTATCACCCTCATCATGGGACCTAACTGCTACTCGCCTGTCATGTCCCCTTTCTGAATTCACGTGCCAGTTAAATGCAACTAATTGGCTCTCAGCCATATCTGGGTGCAAAGCTGGTCCCATTATACTCTCCTCTCACAAGATCATTCAGAGCAGGAAATCGTCAGATGGCTGACATGCATTTTCGAACTCCCCTGCCCTCAGATTTCTTTAGAACTGCTAACAACAATGCATTTACATTGCTGCTGGAATAATCCCCTTTCATTATTTATTTTTGAGAGCTAGTGTTTCATGAAGTTTCAAGGAATTGTTTGTCAGTTGGAGTTGTTGATCTGTTGTGGTAAAAGTGAATCTCAAATATTGATCCCGAAACAGACTGCTTTGTCACCCAGTGTGTTTGGTTCAACAAAATCATTATCACCCCAAATAAAATAAAGCAGCTTTGGAATTCTAAATCCCACAGTTTGAAACATTATAAAAAAAAACACAACAGTAATTTGATCACAGCCACTTAAGGTGTTCATTTCACTTTATTGACATGTATAGGGTGAATAGCCAAGGTCTTTTCCCCAGGGTAGGGGAGTCCAAAACTAGAGGGCATAGGTTTAAGATGAGAGGGGCAAGATTTAAAAGGGACCGAAGGGGCAACTTTTTCATGCAGAGGGTGTTGCGTGTATGGAATGAGCCGCAGAGGAAGTGATGGATTACATCCCCATTTAAAAGGCATCTGGATGGGTACATGAATAGGATGGGTTTAGAGGGATGTGTGCCAAATGCTGGCAAATAGGACTAGATTAATTTGGGATATCTGGTCTGCATGGACGAGTTGGACTGAAGGGTCAGTTTCAATTGTTGTACAGCTCTATGTCTCTATTGACCGATCACATGTCTCACCGTTAACTGCCATCTTAGAATTTTTATAAACTGCTGAAAATTGTGCACTATTTCAATTTTATTTTCTTTTAAAAATTGTCATATGGTATGCTGACATTTGTTGAATATTGTACAGGAAAGGTCAATGTCTCAGACCTGATCATTTCTTTGATAGAACTGTTGTGGAAGATATCAGCTTGTCAGCAAAGCCGAAACCCAAAGCATAAATGCAATAGTGGCAGAATGCAAGCTGAGTGACAGAAAAAGAGTGGTGGTGAACTGTTGATTCTTGGTGGACATAAGTAGACAATGAGCTTAATAAAAACCGAAAGAACTGCAGATGCTGTAAATCAAGAACAAGAACAGAAGTTGCTGAAAATCTCAGCAGACGTGGCAACATCTGTGAAGAAAAAATCAGAGTTAACGTTTTGGGTACGGTGAGCCTTTGTCATTCTGCCAGACCTTCCGAGCTTTTCACAACTACTTTTTGTATAGACAGTGAGCTTGCCTGAAGCCTGGCCATATGATCGTTGCATGTCTTGCTTTATAATAACGAGCTGCATTTGATCATAGAATCCCCAGAGTGTGGAAACAGGCCCTTTGGCCCAACAAGTCCAGACCAACACTCAGAGCACCCACCCAGACCCATCCCTCTATAACCCACCTAATCTATACATCCCTAAGCACTACAGGCAATTGAGCATGGCCAATCCACCTAGCCTGCACATCTTTGGACTGCGGGAGGAAACCAAAGCACCCAGACGAAACCCACGCAGACACGGGGAGAATGTGCAAACTCCACACAGACAGTCGCCCAAGGGTGGAATTGAACCCAGGTCCCTGGCACTGTGAGGCAGCAGTGCTAACCATTGTGCCACCGTGCCACCCCAAAATTTGATTGTGCAGGATATAAGTTCAAAATCTAGAAATTGCACAAAATGTTCCTTTCTTTCGAGAATGAATTCTGCCATCATTACCCAATCTGTACTCCACAGCCCTAACAAAACTAGATTCAGTAGGAAGCAGGAGAAAACTCTTTACTGCTTGGAGTTATACTGGGCACAAAGGAAGATGTTTGTAGTTGTTTGGAGGTCAGTCTTCTCAGCTCCAAGACTTCTGTGCAGAAGCTCCTCAGCGGGGTGTTCAAGGGCCAACCATTTTGTTCAATGACCTTCCCTCCATGATTAAGTGGAATGACCACTGATAATTGCAATGTGTTTACTACCATTCGCTACTCGTCAGATCATGAAGCATGAAGTACAGCCAGATCTGAACAATATCCAAGCTTGGGTTGACGTGTGGCAAGTAACATTTGCACCAAACTAATGCCAGGCATTGGCAGTCAAAGGCATTAAGAGATATGGGTCAAGGGCACAGAAATAAAGTTAGGACACGGATTAGCCATATTCATAAAGAATGACACAGATCAGCCTAGAGTGATTAAGTGGCCAATCCAATATCAATTCATATCAAGTTTTACCAAATTAGGGGCCCACAGACTATAGCAAACTAACATAAAGACATTCCTGCCTTGTATTGAAAGCCCACTGAAGTGTCACTGCAATTTTTTAAAACAATGGGCTAAAGGTGACCTTTTAATGTTCCGCTCTGACATTTGTAGAGTCATCGAGCTGCACCGCACGGACAAAGACCCTTCGGTCCAACTCATCCATGTCGACCAGATATCCTAAATTAATCCAGTCCCACTTGCCAGCACTTGGCTCATATCCCTCTAAACTCTTCCTATTCATATACCCAACCAGATACTTTTTCAATGTTTTAATTGTACCAACCTCCACCACTTCCTCTGGCAGCTCATTCCATACATGCACCACCCTCTGTGTGAAAAAGTTGCCCCTTAGGTCCCTTTTAAATTTTGCCCCTAACACCTTTAGTTTTGGACTCCCCCACCATGGGGAAAAGATCTTGTCTATTCACCCTATCCATCCCCGTCATGATTTTATAAACTTGTATGAGATCACTCGTCAGCCTCTGATACTGCAGGAAAAGTAGCCCCAGTCTATTCAGCATCTCCCTATAGCTCAAGTGCTCCAATTCTGGGAAAATCCTTGCAAATCTTTTCTGAACCGTTTCAAGTTTCACAGCATCCTTCCTATAGCAGGGAGACTAGAAGTGAACAGAATGTTCCAAAAGTGGTCTAACCAATGTCATGTACAGCTGCAACATGTCCTCCCAACTCCTATACTCAATATACTGGTAAGGCAAGCATACCAAATGCCTTCTTCCCGATTCTATCTACCTGGGACTCCACTTTCAAGGAACTATGAACCTGCACTCTGAGGTCTCTTTGTTCAGCAACACTCGGGACCCTATCATTGCTAATAATAAATCAGGAAATGTACATTGTTATAAATGTTGTGTGATTTGCAATGTAGGATTCTGCCATTACAGAGGAATTGTCTTCAAACTGTTGTACATCTTTGAGATCATATGGTCCATTTGCTGTAACTAGCCACATGTTGAAGTTCACTGAATGCTCAAGAAACATGTGAATATTAAATCTCCAGTTCCCTTCAAGATTGGAAGGAACTAGCAGAAAACAATTTGCTTTCTTCTTCTTACACTGAAACCCGCTTTAAATGTGACATAGAAATTAGCATGTTCAACTAAGTGTCATCCTTGAAAGAGTGACTAGCATGACACAGATCCTTGAGAGACCGACGATGATTGATAGATGAAAATAAGTCAGAAATATTAGAAGGTTTTGATCATGTCAGTATTCACATCAGTAGGCCTTGTGCAGATGGAGTAAATGGTTGGATGCAGTTTAAATTACATCAAGCATGTGATACACCGAAATTTGTTTAAATGAGAACAGATCATAACCTACACTTCTAATCCAGGATAAGTAATCAGCCTCGCCTTGTATGGCCAGGTTCTGTTTTCACTTCATGCCCTGATACTAATGCAAAGTGACAGTTGATAATAAAGGACTGTCAATATTATACTATGTCACCTAATGTGCAAGTATATTTGAGATATTGATATTTAGCACATGGTGCCATCCCTAATAACCACTGTAATTTCATATCTGCAAGCCAGGGAAAGCATTTGCATGAGAAAATGCAATTTCTTTCTCTGTTGCCAATAAGTCTGCATAAATTTGGGATAACAGTACTGCAGCTGAGCTGTTGAGAGAAATATTAGTGACTTATTAATCTTATTTTATGATGGCTTCATAATCCAGCACAATTTTATGTGGCCTGTGTGCCCTTTTTTATGCTGGTCTGATTAACGTATCTATTGGCCTTGATGTTTAGTTAATTCAATTTTGTTAGCATTTCAAAAAAACTCGGGCATGTTACTGTCCAGAATGCTGAAAATGCAATACAAGCTCTGCTTTTTTGTCACTAATTGTTTTTCCCTTGATAATTACAAGGCTGATCAGTTTAGACTTTTGACCATCCCTTCAAACTCAGTTACAGTTCACTCCAAGAAGTTTAGACCTAATCACAACCAAAGTCCTGCAGCAGGTTTATAAAAAGAATGACTTGAATTTTTATAGCCACTTTTCATGACATCATAGCATTCCAGGGCACTTTGCAGGCCATGAAATGCTTCTGAAGTGCTGTCACTGTTCTAATTCAGGGAGCTCCAGCAGCCAAACAATGCATAGTAAGCTCCCATGAAGAGAAATGGAGAAGAAAAACTGTTTTAGTGACATTCATTGAGGGAAACACATTGGCCAGGATGCGGTAGAGAACTTCATTGCTCCTTTGCAGATTGTTTTATACCCAGTTGAGAATACAGACAGGGCTTTGAGTGAAATGCCTCATCTAAGAACACAGCATCTCCAAAGGTATAAATACACCCTCAGGACTAGTCTGGATGTCACAGTGAGGTCTCTAGAATGGGACTGGAATCCACAAGCTTCAGACTCAAAAACACAAATGCTAATACGCTAAGCCACAGCCGAGACAGTATTAATGTTTTAAGTTTCACACAGTTGTTTGCAGAGTCTGCATGTGCAGCCAAGTTACTTTGGCCCAAATATAAATTCTATGGCATTTCTGTTTTCATGCATCACATTCAATTATATTCTTCCATCACAGGTGACTGTCTAAGATCAAGGAAGTTCACTGGTATTTAATATCCATCGCTGTTTACCTCAGAAAGCGCGTCTGGAGAAATATTCTAATACATGAACAGATTCTACCAAACAATCATTCTACATATAAAGGTATTTGGAGGATTAGTCTTAGATTGCAATGCTTTGTTTTGTTTTTCCTTCCACATCAGTTTATTGGATTTGCACTATAAGTACATCAGTTTATTAGGTCATTACTGATTTGCTTTCTTTTGTTTTGTAAGGTAAATGTACTCCACAAATTAAACTCAAAATGAGGTCTGAAGATGTTTTGCTTATGAACCACAAAAAACCTCAACAGATGTACAAGATAATACAAGTAAAATAAAACAAAAATAATGATCCAATCGCTGTCTTGGAATAGTTACCAAAACATTAGCTGGCTTCCAAAGGCTTGTGTAGGTGTTAATAAAAGTATACCCAGTATGAATGAAACTACAAAATTAACATTAGCAGTGATGGAGGAAATGTACCAATCTTGTAGACCTTTGCAGGTCAGTGTTTGGATTTACTTTTTTTTGTAAGGAAGGATTATCCACATCATTAACAAACTCAAATTCAAAAAGGACCATTGACCTCATGCACAGTTGTACTTTGTATCAAGATCACAATGATATGGGAGATATCCAATGGCATACAATAAATACAAAGGTCACGTACAGTAAGATGGATTCTCAAGTCAATCCAGTGGATTACTATTGAGCGAGAAGAAGAGTTGCTCATCATATTAGTGTTCCCCTTTATGCCATGTTAAACTTTGAGATCTCAGACAAGCGGTACGTATGAAGCAATTGATGGAGGCGTGGATCAAGACATGGACTTTGTCATGTGCTCACGTGTCCTGTACAGACCTGACACTATTCTTCTCAAATGTTGGGATGTCTTGATAGCACATGTTCTGCATATGCTTTAATCTAGCAGAGTTGTTTGTATCCCCGTCATGGAGTACAGCTTACAGGCTCTGATGCTCGCTTTCAAAATGTCTTTATGTTTAATTTGGGATATCCTAAGGTGTGAGTTCCTGTGCAATGTTGGCTGGAGAACATTGCTTTCAAAATGCAGGGATTTTCCATACAATCAGATGCTCCGTACAGTGAAGCTGAGCTATGTCTCAGAATAAAGATCATGTTCTGCCAGACCGTGGGTCTCACGCCTCCTCTCTATGACGCCAAAGCGTGGACAGCCTGCTAACTTCACTTAAAACAATTCAGTGAATTTCACCATCTATTGGCAACATCAAATGAAAGGACAGTATCCCTCACATCCAAGTTCTTGCCAAGTGCAACATACTTTGTACCGAAAGCACGCATACATAGAATGCAGGGAACCCTTACTGAATATTGTCCTATTTAGCATTGTTTTGTTTCAACATCCCAGAGTTATTGGGACTTGATATCCTGCTGAGCGTTAAAAAATTCACTTCAATATTGTTTACTGTACCTGACTCCCAATACGACATGACCCCTCCCACTCTCTGAATTGCAGACTCTCCTTATGCTGCGACCTGCACCAGTGATCTCCCACCCACCAGCCCATCGACTATCCACTGGTGCAGTTGTCCACTCCAGCTGTCTGTCAACATTCCCTGGAAAGGCAGAAGTGCCCCTTGCCTCTGGCCACCCCTTGCCTCTGGATGCGACTGTACACAACACCTACCGGCTGGCAGTGGGTCCTCTGTCCTCCAGTTTCAGTGGCCAGTGGCCCATGTGAATAGAAGAATGCAGGGAGAGCCCAAACTTCACCCAGACCAGAGTAGCCACCCCACTCCACTACAAACTTCCCTTTGCCGAATCCATCTCCCCTTTCCTACACCAACCCATCCCTCACCCGCACTCTCCTCTCATTTTCCTTGTGTGGAATTGATGAACATGTGGGCAGAACGAACAACTGTCTTTTCACAGAGGCTACCAGACAGCAGGAATCAGGCCTTACTGAGCATTTGATTCAGCAACAGAGAAAAAACTTGGCAAAGATTTTGAAGTGACCAGTCCAAGCTCACAGCAGCCATTGCTGCTTCTCAGCTTGTGACTCCATAATGTTGTCTTGCGGCCACACTTAGGATTGTGACCCACTATTCAGGATGCCTTGACCTACATTATAGAAGATGCATAGAAATTACAGTGTTGCTTATTGAATTGGCTTTATTGTCACATGTACTCAAATAAGTTTGGGGTGGCATGGTGGCTCAGTGTTAGCACTGCTGCCTCACAGTGCCAGGGATCCGGGTTCGATTCCACCCTGGGGCGACTATCTGTGTGGAGTTTGCACATTCTCCCTGTGTCTACGTGGGTTTCCTCCGGGTGCTCTGGTTTCCTCCCACAGTCCAAAGATGTGCAAGCTAGGTGGATTGGCCATGCTAAATTGCCCGTAGTGTTCAGGGAGGTGTAGATTAGGTGGGTTATAGGGGGATGGGCCTTGATGGGATGCCCTGTGGGTTGGTGTGGACTTGTTGGCCCGAAGGGCCTGTTTCCACACTGTAGGGATTCTATGAAAGTACAGTGAAAAGTGTACAAGGTGCTGCTTCTAGCGCCATCTTATGTACAAAGCTCCCAAGGTACAGCTTCTTCAGTTACAGTTGTTAGAGAAATAAAAAGCTGAGCAGTGCAGGTTTTAGGAATAAGTTATAAAATGGGAAAAGAACAAAAATTTCAGGACAACAGTCTTCCAACCCAATCCATGCTGGTACCTAGCCTTCCATATGCGCTGGGCCTTGACTCCAGACTGTGTTGTACTTCACCTCACGGTTCACAAAGCCTGGAGGTCGCTCTGGAATCACATCAAGACTGATAAATCAAAGCCATAGACAGTGTACATTATATGAGACATTATTTGCGTTTCACATTGGAGCACAGATTGCGCCTTCCATCAGAATGTTTTACGGGGAGACGCAGGTGCTCAGTTTCCAAGGCGGACATCATAAACCAATGGTTTGAAATGGCATTTTGCAAAGGAAAGAGTTTAGCACAGTCAGAAGTTCATCACTATGGGATGCCAAATTTTGCATTTCAGGACAAACATTTTCCCATTTCGATGCCTGAAAACTCTTGCAACCCCTCAGTGAGAAGGAGAAGACCCTTACTTCTCAGAGCAGGTAGGTGGTGTTTGCTGGGAGGTTAGCCATTGCTTCTTCCAGCGTATAACCCACTTGGAGATTCCAGTCCCCACTTTGAGCAACCTTGATCTAAGATGGAGAAGCGGGTTTAAAAGCTGAAATGCCTTGATTTGCCCATGATGGTATTCCAAATATTTACCAGTGTTTAAATGAATGGCTGTCACTTCATCTTCAAGGGGATTTGAATAAATATTTAAAAGATGAAAATGCAGGGACATTTGGAGGATTGGAGATGTCGGACTAACTGGAGTGCTCTTGAAAAGAGCTGGCATAAACTGTAGACTAGAATGGCCTCTTTCCTTGCTGTACTATTCTATTCCAATGATTCTACAAATTCAAGATACTTAGTGCTTCTGTCCTTTTATAAATTTACTGTTATCACTTGTCACTTGCATCTATGGCATACTATAATGGAGTTAGTCATGCTGCAAGACTAACAATTTGGAGGCCTGAACTCTTGATTTGAAGTCACAGGTTCAAGTCCAAAACTCATAAACAAAGGATTCAAATTCAATTCATTTCATAAATCTGGACTAAGAAGCTGGTGTCACGAACTATGAAATTAGTGTATTGTTGTAAAAACTCATCTGATTCATAAGTGTCTTTGAAGGAAGGAAGTCTGTTGTCTTCACCTGATCTCGCCACACAATGTAAGTTGACTCATAACTTCCCTTTAAAATGTTTGAACAAGCCATTCAATTGTATCCAAGAGGACAAATCAGCACCGACTAATCAAAAGCAATTAGAGAAGAGGAACACATGTTGGTGACATACTGCAAATGTGTATTTAAAAAAGAGCGCTCTCGTTTAATTTCAAGTAACACTCTGAACTGAGCTTGGTCCTTTAACCTAATAATTGACCTATCTTGATCAGTTACCATGTTAATCAATTTCTTTGCAGTTTGCAGGCTTCTCTGTGTCTTGTGCATACGTCATGCCTGTTATAGCATTATTACTGCTCTGCGCAACCAATCATTTATCCATTTTTATTGTGGAAGAGTGCCCAGAACTACAAACATCACATTTATTTGGACCAGTGCACCCATCATCTCTGGAGACTTGCAAGACGAGAGGTACTTCTTGCTCCTAGCCTGTCACCTTGCCCATTTGGAACACATAACAGGAACTTGGGCACATACTTCCATCCATTAAAGCATCAGTTTGGCTCAGTTGGTAGCTGTTATGCATGTAGTTGGTGTGTGTTGCCCCTCTAATAGAGTGAGTCAAGCAGGAGCTAGGGGAGGCAGTCTAGAAACTAGTCTAGAGGACCCACAATAAAATATTCCCTGTGCAAGCTTACCCTCCATCTACCCCATGTTCTATTCATAGATCGTCTGAACCATAAACATAATAACTGGTGACGAGAGTGGGATCCAGCTCACAAACTGCGAATGCCTTTTTCCTTGCCAGGAGGAAGGATGTCGCCTGGACTTGAAAAACAATGCAGGATTGTTGAGTTTATGACAAGGGAAGGCTCGAAGGAGTTCCCACCTTTTTTAGGGCAGCACAGTGGCTCAGTGGTTAGCACTGTTGCCTCACAGCACCAGGGACCTGGGTTCAATTTCCACCCTCAGGCGACTGTCTGTGTGGAGTTTGCACATTCTCCCTGTGTCTGCGTGGGTTTCCTCCAGGTGCTCCGGTTTCCTCCCACAGTCCAAAGATGTGCAGACTAGGTGGATTGGCCATGCTAAATTGCCCGTAGTGTTCAGGGATGTGTAGCTTAGGTGGGTTATAAGGGGGTGGGTTTGGGAGGGATGCTCCAAGGGTCGGTGTGGACTTGTAGGGCTGAAGGGCCTGTTTCCACACTGTAGGGATTCTATGAATGTGAAGAAGTCATGAGGGGATCTGGGCTGAGATCGACATCGGGAAGAATGATATGCACCAGGGAGTGGGCGAAGAGTAATGGTTGTGAGGGGATTCTGGCCATGTTTGACAGCTGAAGATGGGAACTTACCCAAGTCATCACAGAGAGTGGTCGTGAGGGGACTTGGGCTACGGTCAACACGAGGGAAGAGTGGTACGTAAACACAGTTGGCGAAGGAGTAGCCGAAGCGGAGAGCCTTCACCAAGGGGATTCGAGCTGTAAATGCCTACTAGACTCGAGTGGTGGGAAAACAAAATAGTGGGCCAATTTAGAGCTTTGGGACTGTTTGATGAGAGATAAAAAGTTGGATTGTGTACACCAAACATTTTGATGCATGCGTAAAATGTCAATGAAGTGGCTGAATGGTACCCGTTTTCTTGAGCACAATTTAGAGCAAGACGTTTGCAATTCTAAAGAGACAATTCAGAGGAAAAGGCATAAAGTACATGCCGCCAGCCAGGGAGTAGATGGGGAGTCAGCTGGGTCTGGAGGAGAAGCAGAAGGCTCAGAATCAGCAGAGTTTTGGTTAAAAAGCTATTGACATGGGGTGAAGCTGATCATTTCTGGATTCTTGCTAAATTGGAGGGTAAAGATGGATTTGGATATGGGTGCAGTACTGTCTCTGATTCCTGAATGAATACATAGGGAAAAGTTAGAGGCAGTACCATTGAAACCTGCCAGGATTATACGACAGACATACATGGAACAAGTGGTTCCATCCCAGGGCTATTTACTGGTAGAAGTATAGATAAGGGACCAGCATGCTGAATTCCCTCTGTACATAGTGAAGGGTAACTATTCTGCATCATTCGGATGCTCCTGGTTACAGAAATTGAAGTTAAATCAGGACATGGTTAATCGGCTGGCAGACCCAAAAACGAGTTTGCAAGAGATTTTGGATAGATATAAAATATGTCTTCA